CTGAGAATGATTGCGCCACAACACTTTTACCGACACAATTTCTTTTGATCTTAGCTTCCTCACTTGTCTATCTAGGATTGCCACTGGAACCTCTTCATAAGACAAATCTTCATCAATGCCAACTTCTTGGTACTCAATAACATGGGAGGGATCATAAAGATACTTTCGTAGCATGGATACATGAAACACAGGGTGAATACCCGATAACTCTGGAGGCAGAGCTAGACGATAAGCAACAACACCAACCCTATCCAATACTTCAAATGGACCAATATATCTCGGACTCAGTTTACCCTTTTTCCCGAATCTCATAATGCCTTTCATGGGCGACACTTTTAGAAATACCTTATCTCCAACAGCAAATTCCAATTCCCTACGACGATGATCCACGTAAGACTTTTGTCGACTTTGAGCTGTAACCAACCTTTGCTTGATCACTTTCACTTTCTCCCTAGCCTCCTGAACCAAATCTGGTCCTAAAACCTTGGTATCACCAACTTCAAACCAACCAAGTGGCGATCTACATCGTCGACCATATAAAGCTTCAAATGGTGCCATCTGGATACTTGCTTGGTAGCTATTATTATAAGCAAATTCTACTAATGGCAAGTGATCATCCCAACTTCCACCAAAATCCAAAATACACGATCTCAACATATCCTCAAGGATTTGGATTGTTCTTTCTGATTGACCGTCAGTTTGAGGATGAAAGGCAGTACTGAGATTTAATCGAGTGCCCATTGCTTCTTGGAATACTCTCCAAAATCGAGAAGTGAATTGAGGTCCCCTGTCAGAAATTATAGATACCGGAGTCCCATGTAACCTCACGATTTGAGCAACATAAATCTCAGCATACTTAGCTGCACTGTAGGATGTCTTCACTGGAAGAAAATGAGCTGACTTAGTAAGCCTATCAACAATCACCCAAATAGAGTCATAACCTTTGGTTGTTCGGGGCAAGCCTGTGACAAAATCCATTGTGATGTTTTCCCACTTCCACTCTGGAATTTCTAATCGTTGGAGCGGACCTGCTGGCTTCTGATGTTCTGCTTTAACTTGTTGACATACCAAACATCGTGAAACAAAGTCAGCAATATCGTTCTTCATACCATCCCACCAATAGAACTCCTTCAAATCTTGATACATTTTTGTTGCCCCCGGGTGAATAGTATATGCAGCATGATGAGCTTCTTCTAATATCTTCCTCTTTAACTCCTTTACTTGGGGCACACAAACTCTATTCCCATATCTTAAAATACCTTCCTGATCAATCATAAATTCCACATTGCTTCCACCTTTGACTGCCTCTATTACCTTGTGTAATTTTGGGTCGACATCCTGGGCATTTCTGATCTGCTCTGCTAGAGAAGAGCGGGCCTCAAAGTGAGCTAAAAGAGTTCTATTTGAAATCTCAAATTTTACTCCGATTTGCCCAAGCTTATGGGTGTCTTGCACCAATGGCCTTCTAGATGCATCTATATGTGCTAGGCTGCCCATAGATTTTCTGCTTAAGGCATCAGCAACCACATTTGCCTTGCCCGGATGGTAAAGAATTGTACAATCATAATCTTTAAGTAGTTCCATCCACCTTCTTTGTCTGAGATTTAAATCCTTCTGATCAAAAATGTATTTTAGACTTTTATGATCAGTGAAAATCTCACAAGTTTCACCATATAAATAATGTCTCCAAATCTTCAAAGCAAAAACAACTGCTGCCATTTCCAAATCATGAGTTGGATAATTCTGCTCATGCTTCTTTAGTTTCCTAGAAGCATAAGCAATCACTTGCCCATTCTGCATTAATACACAGCCAAGACCAATTCTAGAGGCATCACAATAAACTGTATATCCTCCAGATCCCGATGGCAAACTTAAGATTGGGGCAGAAGTCAAGCACTCCTTCAACTTTTGGAAACTTTCTTCACATTTCTCATCCCAAACAAATTTCACATTTTTCTGAGTTAACCTTGTCATTGGAGCAGCTATTCTTGAAAAATCCTTCACAAAACGACGATAATACCCTGCGAGACCCAAAAAGCTTCGGATTTCTGTGATCGTTGTGGGCCTTGGCCAATTCTTAACTACCTCTATCTTGCTTGGATCCACCTGAATACCATTTTTAGAAACCACATGACCTAAAAAAGTGACCTCACCAAGCCAAAATTCACATTTAGAAAACTTGGCATATAGTTGTTGCTCCCTTAATTTCTGCAACACTAGCCGCAGATGTTGGCCATGCTCTTCTGGACTCTTTGAGTAAACCAAAATATCATCAATAAAAACAATCACGAATTTATCAAGAAATGGTCGAAATACTCGATTCATCAGGTCCATGAATGCAGCTGGAGCATTAGTCAACCCAAAGGACATCACTAAAAACTCGTAATGACCATATCGGGTTCTAAATGCTGTCTTAGGAATATCCTCCTTCTTGATCTTCAATTGGTGGTAGCCTGAACGCAAGTCTATCTTTGAAAAACATTGGGCTCCTTGCAACTGGTCGAAAAGATCATCAATACGGGGCAATGGATACTTGTTCTTTATTGTCACCTTATTAAGCTGTCGGTAATCAATACAAAGCCTTAAAGATCCATCCTTCTTTTTCACAAATAACACCGGTGCACCCCAAGGAGACGTACTAGGCCGTATGAATCCTTTGTCTAATAACTCTTGTATCTGCATTTTCAATTCCCTTAACTCAGAAGGTGCCATTCTATAAGGGGAAATTGAGATTGGTTGTGTGCCAGGAATTATATCAATAGCAAACTCCACCTCTCTATCTGGAGGTAACCCAGGCAGTTCATCTGGGAAGACATCAGAAAATTCTTGAACAACTGGAATTTGCTCCAGGCTAGTAATAGATTTATCAACATCCTTTACCAAAGCTAGAAACCCCTGGCAACCTTTCGTTAACAATCTTTGGGCTTTCAAGGCAGAAATAAGGTTAGTTGGTCTTTCTACTGTATTCCCTTGCAACATAAAAGGAGTTTCACCTGGAATATTAAAGTTTACCACCTTCAAGTGGCAATCAACAGTAGCATGACAAGAAGATAACCAATCCATGCCTAATATTACATCAAAATCAATCATATCAAGAATCATTAGATCAACAAAAGTTTCCCTGCCCTCGAGGGACACTTCACAAGACTTGTAGACCCGCGAAACTAACAAAGATCCTCCTACTGGTGTAGCAACCATGAAAGGACAATTAAGTTTAGTAGGTTCTTCATCAAACCTCTTAGCAAAGTATACAGAAACATAAGAATGTGTTGAACCAGGATCAAACAGTGCATAAGCTTTTTGAGAGCATATAGCAATAATACCTGTAACAACAGCATTAGAAGCTCGAGCATCCTGTCGTGTTAAGGCATAAACTTTTGCTTGACCTTGCCCAGAAGATGGTTGTCCTCGTCTTCCTATGGTTCTTCCTGACATTGCCCTACTAGAAGAGGCAGGCGTAGCTCCTACAGATGGAGCAGCTGATGCTGTAGGACGAGAGGTAGGTCGCACTGACCCATCACTTGACATGGGTTGAACAAAGGGGCAATTTCTTCTCACATGCCCAGTCTGCCCGCACTCATAACAAGCACCAGAAGCCTTGCGACAGATTCCTGAATGATAGTTTCCACAAGTGGCACAAGGAGATCTCGAATAATTCTGTTGGCTAAAGGATGGTTGAGACTGAGATCTAGCACTCCCAAATTTGGGTCTTGAAATTGGGGTACCTACAGAAGAGAATCTCTGTGGCCTAGGCACTGATTGCGACCCGAAAGTTTGATTTGGAAAACGATTGCCTTTAGAAGAAGATCCCTGCAAGTTTCCGCCACTTTCAACTTTTTGCCTTTTGGAAGCCCCTCTTTCTTCATTGTGTTTTAACTCAATTCTCAAGGCACAATCTACCACATCAGCATAAGAAGAAAAATGGTTCAACATAGGGGCCACAGCATCGTGTATATATATAGGCAATCCCTGAATAAATCTACTGATCCTGTCCCTCTCTGAAGGTATTAGTTGTGTAGCATAAGCAGAAAGCTCTGTAAATTTTCTATCATACTCTGCTATCGTCATCCCCTTAGTGCATTCCAATAGTAGGAATTCTCTAACCTTAGCATCCTTAGTGCTTTGTGGAAGGTACCGTTTAAGAAAGATATTTTTAAACTCCTCCCAAGATAGTGATGGTGAGCCCACTACATTTAAACCAGGCACAGTTTTGCTCCAAGTACTAGCCACTTCTTGTAGTTGGAATACAGCAAATTCCACATATTGAGCCTCAGTACACCTCAAAGCCCGGCATCTCTTTTCAATGCCTTCAAGAAACTCCACAGGATCTTCTCGTGCACCAGACCCTGTGAATGTCGGAGGACCCATCCTGGTAAACTGTATTAATAACTTTGCTGTGTCATCTTTCTCCCTATCAACACTGTGAGTTTCTTTCTGAGTCCCCTGCCCAGATGAAGTAGAGACTTCCGAAGAACGTGGGACAGATGGTTCAGTCTCTGGTAAAATCTCTTCAAGAGGTCTAAGGGGTCGACCTCCCCTAATTCTAGCTCCTCCACGACCTTGCCCTCTACCTCTACCTCTAGGAGGCAGTTCACTTTGCTGAGCAGAGCCTCTATATGAAACTCTATCTTCTCCAGAACTCCTAGTAGCTACTTGACGTCTGGGTGGCATTTTCTCTACACCAGGAAACATAAGAAATACTCAACTCCAAAACAAAAGTAGTTCAATAGAGCGCACTATAAAAGATAAATGACCATACAAAATCACCTAAAAGGCCTTCAATGATGCCTCAATTATAGTTATGCCCGGGTTCATAACAATAATTGAGACCCCATAGAAGAATCCTTGCTCCACGTAACTATAGGAAACCAGGCTCTGATACCAAATTGTCACGCCCCAATTTTTTTCTTTAATGCCTAGAGCAGAAATAAGAGAGATCTCACACTCCCAAGCCTAAACTTATGCAAACAGTTGTATAACTAACATTTTTAAAGTAATCATAAACAAAAGGATCTCTTTGAATAAAACCCATCATCTGCTAGCACATTTCTTTTTGAATAAAATTTGGAGGTCTGCTCCCCGATACCAATGTATATAATTACATTCCAAAATAACCCAAAAGACTAGGACCTAACCCAAGATTACGTGGAGCATCTAACTAACAAAATAAAGACATACGAGTACTCTTGTGGTTACATTAGCTAGCAATTACTCAAAATAAAATTACATGCTCTGGATCTTTGACAAGGCTCTTCACGGCTCAGCTGGTAATACAGAGTCTGGAGTGCTATCTGAGGCCAAAAACAATCTATTGGTGAATAACATCCCATTTATCAAATTTAAATGCATTAATAAAAGAAAAGAATGAAATAACTTTAAATTTGGGTATTAATATGGCAAAGATTTAAGATCTATACAACGTACAGCTATAAATTAAAAAGGTTAAATATGTGATTAAACTCAATAAATCTGTAAAAACACTTTTCATAATAAAATAACTTGCAATACCAAAAAGTATAAAATGTTATATCACATGTTGGACATCAACAGAACGAAACAACAAGCGCGGCTTGAAGCCACGAATACAAGCATGGACACACAGTCCATGAGAGGCAAGTAACCAATCAAGCGTAGCCGGAGCCACGAAACAAGCGTAGCCGAAGCCACGAAACAAGCGCGGGAACTATGCCCACGAATAATCAAGCGAGCTCGAATTTACCATGGCGCGCCAAGGACTAACAGTACTGCTGCTAGTAACCAGCGTTCTGTATTCAGTCCTCTCAAAATATGTACAAGCATGCACGGGATCAATCGCTGACATATAAATATATAGATATATATATTATTTCTAATAATAATTCTTTAAAGAAAATTTTGTAACAGGTAATCCCCAAGATACGAATTTTCAAGTAACATCTTCAAAACCTCTATGCAAATTCCAAACATAACTATTAATTAACGGAATAAAGTGCCTGGTAAAGATTAAGAGTACATTTTGTTCGTCATAACAAGCAAAATTATTCTTTCAACAAGTAACATGTTAAGACATTTAATAAGTAAAACGAATTTGACAAGATTTTAAATATGATCACTTTGATAAAATGAAAAATAAAGCAAAACTGAAAGTCTAATTGAGTCAATAACAGTAAAAGCTTACTCGTAAAATTTGTAATAATGGGATGTTATCCACTCACCTCTTGTGCTCCCACCTTTAAATGGTTTTGGTTTATAAAACCTTGAGATAAGTTCACTCCTCAATCCCCTAATAACCCAAAATCAAAATATCAAAGCTCCATTAAAAAAAAATACAGACTTTCTCATTTATAAATTTTTTTGACATCACATTTATACTTAGGATCAATATTTTAATTATTATTATTATTATTTTATCTGACTTACACTCATACTTTTTTTAATCATTCATCAACAACCTCAACCAACCTTAACAGCCCAACCAAGAATATTGCAAACATCTACGGATCAGCACGTGAGCTGGGAACATTACATATAACTTAAATCTACATAATCAATAGCACCACCCGTACTAACAAATTCAATCTCTCTATATATAAAGACCGCTAGCTCTTGCGTCCTTCAACCACTTCATAGAGACCAATAATTATATCCTAATTAATCCAAATAATATCTATTTTACTCTCCTCCGTCAAGATATCATAGCAACACCTATCAACAATTCTTTTCCTCATGTAAGCATTTTACCAAGCATATTAAAGGCATTCAAAACTGGTTCGCAGGACTAACATTCATCCAGTCTAAAAACATTCCTCAAACACTTGTTTTTTTTTCCATTAACACGCATCATACGAAACAAAACAAACAGCACTACCCAATCACAAGCCTCAAATGATTCCTCCGATCAAGATTGTAAATTACCTTTCAACAAATAAAATCCTTCCTACCTCTTCTATGTAGGCCCAAGAGTTCTCCTTTCTGAAATTAACTAGATGTAACCGTGAAGGAGAGAAAATATGGCTCAAAATGCCTTTAATTGTGCACTTTAGCAGAATAGAATCGTTTTTTCCTTAAACAGGCGTGACTCTTGACAGCAGCAGAAAGAAAATGGAAATGAAGAGATACTAGAGGCGCTGAAAAATCTTGCAACTCCTCCTTGTGTTTCAGCTATGGAAATCGCTTAAGGAGGAAGAGAAAGAGAACAACGAACTGAAATATTAAGGAGGAAGAAGCAGATATTAGTGCGGAACAGGGGAAGGAAGAAAATAGAGAGAGAAGAGGAAAAAAAAAGACCTTGAATGAAGGAGAAGACAGTGGCAGCGAACGGCGACATCAGTGGAGTCGGACGGAGGTAAAGAGTGGCTGGGGTTTTCAGCTTTCAAGTCGCGAACCTTCTCCTACAATACTCCCTCTTTCGCTGAACCAAAAACCAAAAGGACGATGGCATTATTTATCTAATGCCACTTAGTTTTAGTTTTTTTTTTTTAAGCATTTGGGGAACTCTTATAAAATAAGAGGAAAAGATATTTTCCCTAAACAATTGGAGGATTCGAACCTGGGACCTTTAATATTTTAGCACCATTTACTGCCAACCATCTCCCACCTCCTTGTTGTGCTCCAACTACAACAATTTATATAATTATTACGTAAATTATAATAAAAGTTTCAGGTTATTACACTTTCCATTTTTGATATAAGGAGAAATACATGTGAATTAGTGAAAGGGGTCAAATAATTGATATAAGGAGAATTTAGTTAGTGAATTCAAGAGTTATTTTGCCATAAGCAAGTCTCACAATAGTGATAATTAAGATATCATAATACAATCACATGCATGATCTAGTTGAGAGTATCATGGTTTTATTTATATCACTAGGTTAGTGGGAGTAAGGTCATCTATAATTTAATATGAGTGATCCATATATTCCTCATGTTTGATGACTCAAGGTATTACAACTGACAGGTGACCATTGTTGAAAAGCTGTGATATAATTAGTTTAGGTACAATATTCTTTTAGAATACATAAATAGATTATTTTCAAGGTACTTGAGATTATCATAAGTAGCCTATAATCAAAAGAAGTTGAACATCCATGAATAGATGGTTTTTGTCATATGTAACACACCTATTATGAGAATATGATCATATTGTCCATATGTCTCTAATGGAATCATCATGTGAAGAAGATGATAAGTATTCTTCTAATTTAATTGCTAAAGCATAGCCTTATTTGAATATGCACATAATGGGCAATGCTATTGCAATGAATATTAGGAGGATTCTTAAGCAAATTAATGCTTGAATGATAACTGAAAAGCTACAGATTGTGAAGTACATTACTAAATGTACATTAAGTATCATGCTTCACATATATGACAGTCAATTTTTCTTGAATGATTGAGTTTGTTCAGTTTAGCTGGATGAGTTAGCAATAAATTGTTAACATTGTGACCCACTTTTATGTTTGCTAAACAAGTTGCATCATGGAATAGTGCAAGATTGCTAAACAATCCCTAATTGTTTACTTCCATCATGGAATGTCATCTTAATCATTCATAGAGGCAAGTTGCAAGATTATTGATTAATGAATTTCATCATAGGGTTTTGAATTATTGAATTAATTTCAAACCCATTAGGGTGTTTGTTGTATGACCATGGACTCCATGAGGTCATAAAACACATAAAGTATAGATCCTTTGAGTAAAGAAGTATGCTACTAGAAAGATCAAATGATCAATATCTCATCGGGGATGGATCACATTTGGTGATCTGGATGAGGCATTATCAAGTGATGAAATTCAAATTATGGTTTGTTATCTCAAGTTTAGTACCTGAATTATATGAGATTAACAAACATTCAAGTTGGAAGTGAATAAATATTTAAGGTTTATTTATAAAGTTATAACCCATTAAGTAAGAATACTACTTGTAATACATGGAAGGTAACATTCGACTTAAAGAGACTTAGTGCCATGATTCTAGTAGTATAGTCTCAACTAACTTTGACACATTAGTTGACATATAGTGTGCGAGCTAAGTGGGAGGATGTAAGATTTTTAATTATATATTTTATATATTATATTGTATTATTTTTGTTTTAATTAAAATATCCTAAGTGTGATCTGTTAGTCAATTAGAACCAGTCCAAGTAGGGTTTTAGACCCAGTTCTTGTTAGTCATTTCGTGACCTTGAAGGTAGGTTATGTTTTTGACGGCTGACTAAGTGAGCGTTCGTGAAAACCTAATACATGGCTCTTGAGGTTTCCTGACTAGTGGTGGCTCCTTTCAGTTCCATCACCATGCCTACCTCTTAGTTAGAAGAGATCTTGGCATCTTATCTATTAACAGGTTTTATGATTTCAATTATTGTAATCCAGATTTAGATCATGAGAATTTGTGGATTGCTTCTTTAGATCATCTAACATGGTGAGAGGTATTTATAAGTTTTCTGCTACTACTCGGATGATTATAGAATTCCATGTGACTATTTGGTTAAAATATTTGTTCATGGAGTTTATTCTAACAAATTATCCTGAGTCAATTTTTAGTCTCGTAAATCTTTCATGTATGAGTCTATCATCAAATAACTTGAGTGGCTCTGTTAATTTTCATCAATTTTCCAAGCTTTAAAATCTAGAATCTCTTGATCTTTTAGCAACAAGTTTCTCTCACTTGCCTCTGATAATAATCTTAAGGGATAGTTTTGTCGGATCTAGAATGGCTAGATTTATCATCAAACTGGCTTAGGGGTGAGATTCCTCTTGCACTACCAGATCTCAACTTTCTTGAAGTTCTGAATCTTTCACAGAAGCAGCTGGTCGATGAAATACCAAAAGGTAAGCAATTTGGTACATCTTCGCAATGCAAGATTTCTTTGAGGGAAATTTAGGACTGTGTGGATTTTAATTGTCAAAAGCATGTAGTCATGATGAAGGAAATTTCCACAACCAACTTCATCAAGTAATGACAAATTTGGATTTGGTTGGAAACTAGTGGCTTTGGGATATGGACGTGGGATGGTGTTTGGAATATTCATGGGTCGAGTTGTTTTCTTAACTGGAAAACCTGAACGGCTTGTCAAAATTTTTCAAGCTAGGCCTAAGAAAAAAGAAAAAGGACAAAGGAAAGAGCTCAGCTGAATCAAAGAGGAGTGAATTAGGCACAAAATGTGGCTTCATGTTATATTGTGTGAAATTTTTTTCTTCCATGTTTCATGTTTGGTTCTTATTTCATATTACATAAATATCTTGTCAGTGATTGGAATGTGCGGTTGAGAATCAATAGAATTATAAAATTAGTAGATCGTACTACTTAGATAAAGTTCCCTCATCGTACCATCTTCTTTAATTTTCGTCACTTTCAGCAGAAAAAGCAGAGAGAGAGAGGACGTGAAGGATACTATAAAAAATTTGACTTCCGACAATGACAAAATAAGTCACCGCTAAAAGTGTAATTTGTCATTGCTAAAGAGTGCTTTAAACGGCAACCCTATATGTTACTGCTAAATGTGACTTTCGGCTGTCTTTCAGCAATGACATTTTGTCACTGCTAAAAATGGCAAAAAAAAAAAAAAATATATATATATATATATAATAATGACACATAACCAACCACCTACCACATCATACCATGTCATCTGGCCCACTTGCCGCATCACCATTTGCCATGTGTCATGCCATGTCATTCGCCTACCTGCCACATCATGTGTCCCGCCATGTCACCTTCTCATTGTCATGTGTTGCCATGCCATCGCCCACTACCATGTTGCAACGCGTCACAGCTCAATATTTTCACCTCCCAAATGCACCTTCTCTTGATTCGAACCATGACCTCCTTATTTTAGTGTTCAGTTTCCTTCCATGTGAACTGTGATGAAATTCAATCTTTTTATTACAACATGAAATACACACACATAATATTATTATAAGGACAATGCATACATCAAGTTTCTTATATCCATTATGTCAGGTTCTCCCATCACAAATGACCATGTGTTTTATTTTTGAAATATTAGCATTTAATAGCATTTAATTATAAATTCATATGAAACAAAAAAGGATACATGTCCACATATAATTAGAAAACTTGATATAATAGATATAAGAAACCTGATCTAAGCTTTCTCCTATTTATAATGTATATGTTTATTAATATATATCTGATATAAATATATAAATATGTTAAACTATATCCATACTAACGTATATGTTAATATTAATATTTATATCAATATATATAAATTTAAAACATAATATTAATATATATTGATATAATATTTATGCTATTATTTTAAATAAATTAAAACATTGTATAATTCATAATACATTCAATAAATTTTTTATTTATATTTTTTTCGGCCAAGAATTTTTATTTATATTTAGTGGATAGTATTATTTAATACATTAATTTAAAATAACTTGACTTTCAGTGGCGACTTTTATCATTATCGCTAATAGTCTAAGTTTCAGCGACGACTATGTAAAATCGCCACTAAAAGTTGTCACTTTTAATGGCGACTTTAAAAAGTCGCTGTTGAAACTTAACTTTCAACAGTGACTATAATAGCTGCCCGACTTTTATTATCATCGCAAAAAGTCAAGTTTCAATGACGACTTGAGTCATTATTGAAAGTGGTTGCCAGGAGTTTTTTTTTTTTTGTAGTGGCAAAGGAAGAGAGAAGGGGAAGAAAAACAACTTGCAACTTGAAATAGGTAATTCCTCAACTCTAAGTCAATTTTTCTCATTTGGAGCTTCTCAAACAAAAGTTGTTAGAAAGAGGAAGAGAGAGAGAGAGATAGGAGGACCTAGGGAGAGAAATCAAAAGGAACAATCTGAGGAGTTGGTAAGTAGTTGGTTTATGGTGATTTTATTATGGTTGTTGTTGTTATGGTTTGGAGCCTTTAGAAGATTAAACCCTAAGGGAAATTATGTCAAAAATATTAAAAAATAATACAATGTATAAATGTTTCTTATTATATAGATACATATAATAAGAAAAGCAATGTATAAATACGTATGTACTAACTATATATTTCTTATTATATAGATACATATATATTTCACGACAATATTTCTTATTTTTGGCAAAACTTAATTTGGCAACAATTATAAAAATGCTTTCTGATGTATGGGGGGGGGGGGACAATTTTCAACTTTAGCCACAGGGTGCGAAAAACTGTTGCCTTTTGTGGTGACATTGGAATATATATGTATAATTTTTAAAATGTTGCTTATAATTTAAGGTTACCTTTAGCTACATTTTTTAACGAGTAACATTAGGTAAAAATAGAGAAAATTGGGAATAAATCCCTCATTGAAAAATTAATTAGCAAATAGTCCCTAAAATAATGTGCTACACATAGAAAACTAAGTTGCATATAAGAGAAGTTGAGTTCTTTAACCCTAAAACTGTTAGTATTAAATCATGATTTTTGTAACAATTATAATTGTTTTGAAAACTAAATTTAATATTTAGCTTTGATTGTTATGAAATTAACCAACAATGAAAATAGATTGGAGAAGAGAAGTAGACAAAAAATGAGAGAATGATATTGTATTATTCCTTCACTTGCTTCACTTACTTCACAATACAATGACATGCCTTATTTATAGGCATAGTCTCACATATA